GGTTTATGCGAATAACCGTCAGTTCCAGAGCACAGAAGAGCTGAACCGGGCGACTATCGAAGCATAGAGAGCAATCGATGAGGAACTCTTCGAAACTTAGTTTCTAGTATGCCACGCAGGCTCTTTGATATTGCTCTTAAACAAGGAGGAGCTATAGATTATTAACTGTTGTACATATGCCATTAACATTGATAAATCATTGACTTTCTCAGGGTGACCTTATAATTATGAAACGGTGCAAAAGCGACACTGTCTTTCAAAAATTCGTAAAAAATTTGAGGTGAAGGATATTGCGACCAAAATTTGAGTGCGGAGGTACATTGTGACGAGGAATCTACAAGTGTTTGCCAAAAAATTCCATTCCGGCTGCTTTCTCCAGAATCGCAAAAATCGAGGGTGATCTTATAATTATGAAACGCACTGTATATGAATGCCCAACAGCTGTGAGGAGCTTGAAGTGACACTTGTAGTGCTTTCATTCCCTTCACTATTGAGAGATAATCGAAATTTCAGGATGAGGTTAATGTTGGTCATCTTCCTTTCGTTTGGTAATGTTAATGGCCACAGCACAACAGCCACGAATAATGGAGAGGTTTTGTTCGGCAATCATTTGTTTTTATTTGCTTGTAACTTCATCTTTTTGATTTTCATTGCCACTACATAACGTTAGATTGGTTTCGACCCACGACAAAGCTCGAAAAGTAACTGTTATTACAGCTCTTCGGCGGAATGGTATTGAACATCATGGACGGGACAGGAGAAATTGAAGTACTGAGAACGTCGAACGTCTCGACGGAGACACACGCTTCACTTGAAAAACGTCATCAGGTAACATTAATCCCTTTTATCCTCTGCTCCCTCAATGGCGGATGAATCTCTCAGTGCACAAATGGATGAAGCTAATAGTAGGAAAAAAGGAAAACAAATAGAGACTTGGATTTATCTGTTTACTTAATGAGTGGGAGAAATATGGAGTTTTTTTGGGGACACCAGCATGTATCCGTGAGCTATGTAGAGATGACAATTGAGCGATGAAGGAAGCCTTCGAGCGACAGCAAATGCTACTTCAGAGCCACCATTATCATTAGTCATTCATATATTTTTTGCTTTAATGTTTCACTTTATGCTGCGACTAGCAGGCGCCGTCAAAAGTCAATTACGATCACATTAATGCGAGGAAATACTCTATAGTCAAGATGAACGAAAAAAGCAAAATCGACATGGAACTGTTCGAGGGTGACATTCTGCTCACTGAGTAAGATTTAATAATTAAAACGAGCTATCTATCAAAACAAAAATGCATATTCAAGGGCGCAGGCTGAGACCATCTTCAATGTTAGTGAACAGGTCGGAAGTTCCAAACGTACTAAACGCCAGGCCATTAGAGACCGTGAAGGCGTGAAGCTTTGGACTGATGGTGTAAGCTACGCCTTCAACCATACTCTAAGTGAGATAAAGGTATTCTGTTAGTTACCTGTACGGGTAATAAGAACGAATTGTAGGCAGAGATGCACAAAAAACGTTTCGGAAAGCAGTGGAGCAGTGGACAAAAGACACATGTGTTGAATTCCGATATGAACCTCACAGCACAGGTGATCGCACACATAACGAAATAGATTACTGTACAGGATACGCTCAAAAATACACAATGTGATCTTTCGCAGAGAATGCCAAGTGGTTTGATTGGGCGAGGACATTTTTCACAACGAACCTCTGCCAAGATCACTAGGACTAATGCAACCTTTGCACTAGATTTCCTTCATATGTATAATGTTTTCATTAGATGTATAATGTTTTGCATTTTATTTTTCTAACATCGTGGGACCACACTTGAGTATTTGCAGCCAAAGATCGGCTAATAGTGCAAGCCTTGGACGGATGCTGGTCCAGTCTAGGGAAGACGGGAGGTCTTCAGCAAATATCACTGCCAGACGGATGTGAGAACGCCGCCGTCCATGAGATAGGTCATACTCTCGGGTTCTACCACACTATGTCCAGACACGACCGCGATGAATATGTTGTTGTAAACTTACAGAATATACAGGTGCAGTCAAGAAAATTGGGACAAAATCAACAGAATCGCCAGTGTCAATATTCGCTTGCAGTTTTCATGGCGAAGTCAGTACTCGAGGCAGACGCTAGAAACGAATGATAACTTTAACCTGGACTTCGACTACGGTAGCGTCATGAACTACGGCCAGTCAGAGTCAGTTTGAACATTTTTAAATATTGGCTGCTTAATGTTCGTTTGAGTTTGCTGAACAAGTGGGTTTTGGGAGGCGAAATATATTCGAGATTTTCCTTTTTTTGCATTTCTCAAACGACAACTGATTTTCCTTAACGTACGCACCTGAATTATGTGATTTTTGAATACGCTTACGCACGATATTGACCGTGATGAGATTTCATCTTCGACCTCATGAATATCCATTAACAGTGGTGCTATCAACCGTCAACACCGATTGAATACGCTTACGCACGATATTGACCGTGATGAGATTTCATCTTCGACCTCATGAATATCCATTAACAGTGGTGCTATCAACCGTCAACAGCCGACGCTTGTGCCTTTCGACAAAAACTATCGAGAAACTCTGGGGTCGCCATTCGTTTCCTTCATCGACGTCTTAATGCTGAATGAGCTCTATGGATGCAATAGTTAGTTCAAGTGAAAGTTATAGTGATTTGGGGGCGTATTTGAGGGCAGCACGGGAACACGTTTTCCATCATTCTGATTAGGTCCCTTCCTTATCTGTACTTGTGTGCACCTAAAAAAACTACGCTTAGGGAACATTTTTTAAAATTGCTTCCAGAGTGGTGTGACGGTAACGAAACTGTGACCTGCGAAAATGGAGGATATCCTCATCCACGGCACTGCTGGAAATGCGTCTGTCCTGGTGGATACGGTGGAGACCGATGCACTGAGAGGGTACGAGAACACTCTTTCACTAAGTTTGTTAGCGAAATTTTAGTCAAAATTTTATCTGATTCTCATTTAATTCACATTTATTATTATTTGGTCACTATTTTCACAGCCTGATACCGGATGCGGAGAGACAGTTGAAGCATCGGAAGATTGGAAAACTCTCAGAGACTTCTTAGGAAGTTATTCTGTCCATCAATATCTGGAAAACTACATCAAGTGCCACTATTGGATTCAAGTACGCTGTGCAGTTTTAGCCAAAGTGAAGAAAAACTATTATCCCAGGAAAAGTTTAAAAAATATTAGCCACAAGTCCTGATATCCACCATTGTTGCTCTCATATACTGTAGCTACTTTTTCCAGTCTCCTGAAGGAACCGAAATTGAAGTAGAGTTTTTAAATTTCACTGAAGGTCATGATATCGACGGCTGCCCTTACGCTGGTGTTGAAATCAAGACGAACAAGAAGCAGCAGCTCACTGGTTATAGGTACTGCTTCCGTGTAAAAATGTCTAAAGAGGAATATTGCATCATCATCGTAGGCTACCTAAATACCTGCTTCTTTATTGCCTTCTCAGATTCTGCTCTCCGAGCGATGCAGGAACCAAACTCCGCTCCTATACCAATCGGGTTCCTATAATAACATGGAATGTGATCTATGCATCAGAAACGATCTTACGATACCGATACGGTAACACTGTGAAAAGACTATCTTCATGTTCGTTGAAATTGCATTGTTCCGATTTAGTTTTGGCGAATGAACCTCGGACAACCGCAGTGAATCCATTAAGTCGCAGTACCAGTCAGACTTTCAGCACCATGAGTGCTGCTCCTACTCCTGCGATTCGAGAGCAGAATAGGTTCGAGGATCGGTCAGTGTAAGAAAAATGCTCCACATATCACAGACAAATAAAAGGAAGAGCTTCTGTCTTCGTGGACGTGATTTATGCGAACGAGATTATGTGCCTTTATAAATGCTTGATCGTTTGTGATTTTGTTTGTGGACTTTTAAAACACAAACAATTGTAAACTACATATACATTGTAAATTCGTTCATCATGCTAAACCTCAATACGATTGTACGTAACTAATCAATCATCGGCTCTCTTTCCTCTTTGCCATAATCTACCCCTTGTGAAAGTGAAGCTCACGAAGGACTATAAGTCAACAGCTTTTTGTCGGGATTCATAAAAACACCTTTTACACAATCATAGAATCCTATCGTTAGTTCAAGTATCGCTAGTTATCGCTAGTTAGCTCACAGTTAAGCAGCATCAACGCTTCAGTGTACACTGAATGGCTCCAACATGGACGCGCATCGTTGAGTGGGATCATTTAATGATGCCGGCTTTCATGTAATAACAACCACCCTGTCCGATGTCTAGGATGTGAATGTTAACCTTGGCAAAATGAAATCTCACACTTCAGCTTAGTACAAGCATAAGCTATGAAACAAAACCGTGAGTTGGGAGGAATGACACATTTTGAATGTATTGGTTGGCAAATAAGTCCTGCGACAAAATGGGGACCTTTTTTTTTAGATCGTTTCAAATTTTCTTCATATCAATCAATTTTTGGGAAAATGTTTACCGAAAAAGTCAACAATCTTCTTTTATCCTTTAAGCCAATCACTGGTGCCATTTCTTCAGAGGTGAGGGAGCTGTGACTCAAAGAAGTAATTGACTGCCGTTTTTGGATCACATTAAGTTACGAATTTCTTTTCCACAACGGGATGTTCAAAAAGGCGGAGCACATGGTAGTTAAAAGTGGGAGCACTTCAGGAGTACGACTGATGAGTAACCTGGAACCAAGCGGGATG